CCAGTCCAACAACTCCAATTGCCTTTCAGATATTTCCAACTGAATGCCCTCTAGACATCTTAAACTCAACATATTCAAAATTGAACTCATTACCCACCCCCAAACTTCCCTATCCTCCTAGCCCCTCCGGCTTACAAGCTGGGTGTCATCCTAGACTCCTCACTCTCACTCACTGCCAATATCCTGTAGTTTCTACCCTTTTGGTACCTTTTCTATATATTCCCTCTCTCCTCTGACCCAGCTGCCACCTAGGTGCTTCGTTCTGGCTATTGCAAAAACCTGCTGGTTGATCTCCTTGCCCCAAATCTTTCCCCACTCCAATCCATCTTCCACTCAGCTGTCAAAGTGTTGTTCCTAAAGTGTAGGTCTGATTCCACACACACACATACACACACACACACACACACACACAAAATTTACACATTAACATTACAAATATACGCACCCTATAAACTAAACTTCAGTTATTTCTAGGATCAAAGATAAAATCCTCTGGCTTTTGAAGCCCTTCATAACCTGGTCCCTCACTACCTTTCTTTCTTTGTACATTTTACTCTTCTCCACATACTCAGTAATCTAGTGATGTTGGCCTTTTTGCTGTTTTTCCCATGTGACGCTCCATGTCCCAAATCATTGTTTTCATTGGCTGTCCTTCATGACTAGAATGCTCTCCTTATTTATCTCTGCCTCCTTCCTACCCTGGCTTCCTTCAAGTATGACCTTCTGCTCTCTGTCTTCTGCAAGAAGTCTTTCCCAGTCCCTCTGAGACTGTTCCCAAATTAGCCTGCATATATCTTGTCTATAAATAGTTGTTTGCATGTTGTCTCCCTTGTGAGACCATAAGCTCTTTGAGGGCAAAGACTGTGTTTTGTCTTTCTTTGTATCCTAGAATTTAGTGCAGCACCTTACCAGTGGAGCTGACTCTACTTTTAGGTGAAATATGTGGACATCTTCTTAGTACTTATATGTGGACAACTCAAAGGCCAAGGCCCAGAAAGCATCATGTCAGAGAGGAAATAGAGTGTTAGGGAAAGAATACTGGAGTTGAACTTGGAAGAACTGAGTGTCCTAGCTCTGATATTAGCCAGGTGATCCTGGGTAATTCACTTAAGTTTTTATAGCCTCAGTTTCCTAATCTTCAAAATGAATGAGTGAGTGAATGAATGAGTAAAAATCATTTATTATACATTTATTATGTGCTAAACACTGTGGTGATTAAAAACATTTTCTACCTCCTTCAGAACTATTGTGAATCAAGTGCTTTATGAAGTTTTATGTAGATGATTTAGTATTACTAGAAGGTATACATACATGGTTCTGTTAGTAGACATTGACAGTGTGTCTATTAGCCCAATTTTTAAAACAGAGTAGGGCCCTAAAATGTTTATTGTTAGTTTGTCAACTGACTAGGCAACAGGCCAGAGAGGTTTCAATGGCAGAAGGAGAATATGGTAGGAAAAATTCAGAGAATGGGTAGTGTTAATGGATGATGAGATGGTTGTATTCATTTTGCCCTTTAAACCTCTAATGGCACCATGCTTCTCCCCTGGGTCAGTCCACATGGACTTTATGGTTGGTTAGGCCAACAATTTATTAGTCCAATTCTTCTAATTCCTTAAGCAGCTCTCATGGCCTCCTGTCCACTTGAAGACAATTTGCTATGCTCTAGTTACAACAATAGGTAAATAAAAGTAAAAATATGAGAGGGGAATTATCTGGGGCTTAATGAATGCTTCCTTGATTGATACGTACCAACAAGGCAGTAAAAATGTATAAGAACAAAGATATATGAAGATTGTCTGGTCCCAAAGAAACAAAAGAATAATTCCTGTTCAGAGCTTCCTTTTATTTTTAGATGGCTCATTAGCATAAAATAGTCTATACTTATCTAGTAATATTCTGCCAAGGGGTTCTGTGGTCACTTCTCCCAGGTAGAAATACTGAGGAGGGGAGAGCTTTAATTTAATTTACCTTTTTTTTTCCAGCTTACTTCCATACAACTCCTATTCAAATTTCTACCCATTTAATAAGCTCAGAAGTGGTTACTCCCTCCCTCCAGATTTGCTTAGGTTGGATACCTGGTATGAAAAAAGGGTCATGAGGACTCTATATAAGTAAAGAAAGTCAGGGTGATGAAATGGATGAGCAGTGAATTTGGGGTGTGCAGCCTGTGTAGTAGGAGAAAAAGCAGTACATAGAGTACTCATTTAGGGGTCAGAAGACTCCCTCAAAATTCCCATTTAATTTATCATGCTGACCCAAGGTATATTGAAACCACGGTGGGGAAAGTCCTGATGTGGAAGGGATAACTGGACCTCATTTTCCTTCCCTTTCAAGGAGCCAAGCTGAGATAGATGAACTCTGTAGACCTTTCCCATGCTAATTACACTTGACGACTCTAAAACCTTGCCAGTTATTCCATGATTTTGGCTCTACTCTGTACGCACAGGATATGGCCCCTCAAACCACCTAGCTAAACAACTCATAGATGCCCACATTTCAAATGCTTGAAAGCTATGTCTGGTCAAAGGAGAAAATCTTGAAGGTTTCTTTGACAGAGGACTAAACATGGGTAGCCATGTAGTTAGGGAAGAGGGAAGGGAGGAGGGCATGAGGAAGTACAAAGCTATTGAGCTGAGGTTGAAGGATTATCACTCTATGCAAATTGGCCCATCTCTGGTTATGAATTAAATTAATTAATGAAATTAATACTTTCACTATGAGAAAATAGAAGGATCTGGGATCTCTTCAGCCTAAAGAACTTCAGCTCTAGGAATCACTGCAAACAATAAGTTAGTAAGCTAAGAAATGTAACCATAAGTCTTTCACACTATCCACGAAAGGAGGAAATAGGCATGAAGGAAATCAGAACAGACAAAACACTGATGTCAGACTGGGTATGTTTTCAAAAAGAGGAGTTGGCTCTAATTCTCAGGAGGCGAATGGCTTTCAGCGGGAGAATGAGGAACAGGAAAGATTTACAATCGTCTGTACGACAGCTGAGATTTATATAGTGCTGTGTAGAATGGTGCTGGATCTGGACCTATAGGTCTGGGATTCAGTCCTGTCTCTGGCCCTTTCTTCCTGTGTGATCCGGGGAAAGTCATTTTGCCTTTCTTGTCCTCAATTTCCTCATCAGGGGTTTGTCCCAGGCCTCTGCGGCCCCACCTATTTGTGAACTTTAGTATTTTTAGGATTCCTAAAGTATTTGGCATACTCAATATCATCTGGTCATCATAACAACACTACGTGTTAGAAGTACCAGTGTTATCATCTTCATTTTATAGATGGGAAAATTAAGGTTCAGGAAGGGGAAGGGTTAAGGTCACATAGCTAGGAAGTGGCACAGCCAGCCTACGCACCCAAGCCTTCTCATTTGGAGACCAGCACTCTTTCCACTAAACTTCAACTACCCGTGATCTAAACAATTCCAGTTGTGCAGTTTCATTTTTTTCTTTTTGTTTGTCCCAGACTTGACGTATCACCAGCGTGGAGAATTAGCAATCTAGAAATTTCCTTTCCTTATGCAGACTGGCAACTGATTTATAACTTATATTATTTGAGAGTTTGCCAGGGGCACTGAGAAGTTAATGCCTTGCCCCTTGTCAGAGAGCCAGAATGTGTGAGAGGCAGATCATTCTGATTCTAAAACCAGCCCTCTTCTCCATTTAGGTTACACAGATTAGTTATGTTCCCCCTGCTTCAGAACATATGCGCTTGATTGATGCATAGTGAAGAAGGGCAATTGTATCAATAGCCAACAGTGTCCTTAGAAAGCTCATGCCCCCAAACAGATCTAGCAAATATAACTTTATTAGGTATTAGAAATAAATGGGATTACAGTGTGTGTGTGTGTGTGTGTGTATGTGTGTGTGTGTTTATACACATATATAACGTAGCATCTTAGAGAGAGTTGGACCTGGTCAGGTCAAGAAAACCTGTGTTCAAAACCTCTCTGACACTTACTAGCTCTGTGACCATAGGCAAGTCCCTTCAACACTCTGAGCCTCAGTTTTCTTGCCTGTAAAATGAGGAGCTTAAATTAGGTGGCCTTTAAGATCTCTTCTAGCCCAAATCTATGATCCTGTATATACAAGCCTGGGCAGAGGAATTATGGTGTGGCCATCAGAGTGTTGGACTTGAGTCAAAAGGACCTGAGTTTGAATCTTGCCTCAGACCCTTTTAGCTGTGTCATCCCAGGTAAGTCAATTAGAGTCTTTGAACATTAGTTTCCACATCTCTATGATGGGAATAACAGGAGTTCATACCTCACAGCACTGTGAAAATCAAGTAAGATATTGGATATAAGTTTGCTTAGGAAACTTTATATTGCTTTATCACGATATACTGGTTGTTTCATATGTAAGTGGTACATATGTATATACTTATATAATAAGCATTATTAAATGCTTTCAGACTCTCTGCTAAGTACTGGAGAGACAAAATATAAAAGTGAGACAGTTTGTACCTCAAGGAACTTATACTCTATGACTGCAAACAACTGTACTTAGTTAAACAAATGCAAAATATATAGAAAATGGGGGCAGCAAGGTGGTACTGTGGATAGAGCTCTGGCCCTGGAGTCAGAAAGACCTGAGTTCAAATCAGGCCCCCTATTAGACACTTGACATTTACTAGCTGTGTGACCCTAGGCAAGTCACTTAACTCTAATTGCCTCACCAAAACAAAACAAAATAAAAAAAAACAAACCAGAAATGAATACAAAATGACAAAGGAAGACATGATGGCTTGACACAATGCCCCACATGTATTAAGCATTTACTGCATGCCTGTTAACTAAATGATAGACGGACTGACTGGCCAGAAGAATAGAGAAAGGCCTTCTAAAGGATGTGGTAACTGAGTTGAGCCTTGAAGGAGCTAAGAGTGCCAATAGATGAATTGTTTATAGACAACAGACAATATAGAATGTGAATGGGCTGAGTCCAATTTCTATTTACTATCCTTGATGAAATAAGTGTGCCACAAACAATTTTTACCTCATATTCTCTTTCCTGTGTACGGTCACATACATTTCATAGACTCTCCCTTGGGGAATGGCCCCTGCAGGAATCAGCAAACTCACTCCTAAACAACAGGTAAATATACACACATAATGAGAAAAAAATGAATTAAATAGGAAAAAAATCAGAAACCACCACCACAGCTTGTCTAAAGGAATGAGTACAGATTGTGAAAAGGCAGCCATATGTCTACTTTTTCCCCCTTGATAAAAGGGAAATCTTCCCAGTTGCTGGGACTTTCTTATTTACTGCCTATCTTAGTACAACTGCTTCTGTACCTTTGCGGAGTTATGAGAAGGGTAAAAGTGGATTTTTTAAAAAGCTTTATTTTAGTCAAGGAGTAGGCAGGTGGGTATTTTTGTTTACCCTGTGAAACTAAAGGAAAAACAACAATTACTTTGAAAATTTCAAACTGCTGTAATGGGACATATCTCCCTAGGCATTTCTTCTTTAATTGCAAAAATCCCCTGTGAAAGCCAACGCCAGCAGAATACCATATTTTAAAAATGAGCAAAGGAATCTCTGAAAGGATCTGTCTGTTTTAGCAGCATCATGGTTTAGATCAATGGTTCTCAAACTGTGGTATGGGGACCTCTGAGGAACGCAGAGGCCCTTCCTGGGGTCTGCAAGGTTAAAATGATTTTCATAATAACACTAAGATTTTAAATGTCTAATATGGTAAATATCTATAGATATCATCAACATAAAGAAAAGCTCTATGGAAGGGAGTTGTCCTCCATGATTTTTAAAGTGTGTAAAGAGGTGGTGAAACCAAAGTTTTAGAGACATGGGCTTAGACCTGAAATCACTCTAGGCAGTTTCAGCATCCATGACCCTGGGAAGAGTCCAGTGCCACTTGATTTTGCTTCAGTTGGCCAAATGGTTTCTACGCTTTACATTTATATTTGAGCCTGATGTATCAGTAAGATTACAGCGTCATCCAAAAGGAATGTGATTCACATTTTGAAGATGAACAGCATGAAGATGCTTTTCAGTTAAAGTTAAATTCAGTTAAATTAGATTTAATAAGCACTTATATTGACCTTTACAGTCAGCCTTCCATATCAAATGCCCTGCTTGACACTTTGGGAAATACAAATGAAACAGAAGATGATGTTATTCCCCTTAAGGAAGTTACAGGTTAGTTGAAGAGACAAGAATGCATATATACATAAGACTAGAAAACAAAGGAAAGTAAGGAAAGATGACTGTGGAGAGAGGATAAGTTAGGGAAAACTTCACCAAGGAGGAGGGGTGCCTTTTGTTGCACCTGGAATAAAGTGTAGAGCTTAGGTAGCTGGAGATGAGCAGAGAGGAGTGATTTAGCTTCTAGGAAGGAAGAAAGGTATTAGGAAAGACAGAAGAGATAATGAGAATGACATGTTTTGGACATTGTAAGGAAACCTGCCTGGCTGGACTGGAACTACCATGATGGAAATAGTGACAGAAAAGCAATGCAAAGTTGGGCCAATTAACAGTTTGGAAATGCCAGGATGAGGAGTTCCTATTTGGCTGAAAAGTGGATGGGGAATCATTATAATTTCTTGAGGAGGGGAACAGTCCATGTCTTCTTTTCTCGTGCATTACAAAATGTCCTAGTGTTGGTGGTATTGCTTTCTAGCACCATATTTATTGAATGATCACAACTACAATTTGAAAAGTTAAGGCACTTTACTTGAGGAAACCATTTACTCTTCTGAATGCCTATTATTATTTTAAGGGAAAATGAAAATGAAATGTGATGACTCTGTCCTAGGGTTTGATTTTAATACTTTCATGAGGCTTCTCTGAAGTTAATTGCCAGATAAAATGATGAAATCTAAATAACACTACAAAAGGATAGCATAATGAAATTCTAATCTTTAAATAGAGAAATCAATGGATGGTGAGTGGCTTATTTACCCTCTGTGCCTGATGAATGCATAATAAAGAGTTAAGTTGATAAATTAATCTTGGCTCTATTCTACAATGTCCTCTCATCATTTTAAAAAATATGAGCATTCTAAAATTCTTCTTCCTCCGCAGCAAATTGGAACTGGAGCAACTGATGTGATTTCTAATTAATTTGTCCTTTGTATGGATGGTGACAACAGCAAAGGTTTCCTGCTTGAAGATGTCCGCCAAAACTGTGCTGAAAAAAGGTCAACGGGCTGACTGATAACCTCATCTCAGAAAATTTCGAAATAATTTCTCTGGGAAGTGTTCTGATAAGTTAGTTGTTGGAGAAGAACAGAGCTTTGGGGAAAGGACAAATGAACTTGAAAGAAAATGTACTTTTTAATCTAAGTCAAAAACGCAGCCTAGTGGGTGACCTGCATTTCAAATGAGGTGGGGGGAAATGGGACTTTTTTTGGTAGGGGAAAAGTTATCAGACCAAGAGCTTGCATTTTAAACCTTTAGAACTTACCTGAATTAGGCACAATGAGGTGCCCCCCAAGAGAGTTGAAAGTCCCAAAAGCAGTACAGGATGGGTCTGTTTGTCTAGCCAGGCTCTGATTCTTCAAGTTGAGAGTCTCACTTTCTAGCAGAGACTGGGTAATTTGTGGGGACAGCTTGGCTGTGAAATCTGATAAGTCATCCTGTGGGGTTACGGCACCTGAGGTATTGTACACTTTGATTTTCAGGTTGGGTAGAGGATCGAGGATTGGTGAGTTGGTCATCGGGATTTTGTCAGAGACATCATGCAAAGCATAGACAGGGCCTCTATACATGGCTGCAGCTGATGTAAGGTCTGGTGGTACCGCCAGGAGATCTGTGTTTGAGAAAGAAAGAGCAATTTCATGACCTTATTTTGGCCAACCTAGACAAATTAATTCTGCGATAGCTTGTTTTTCCCAAAGGAAAGGTAGTTCAATTAGCTTAAAGGTTTGCACGATGGCCTCAGTATCTGCTGGAAAATGGTCAGATGGTAATCTGGACCCAGTGTAGCTGTCTGTATCTGCTTCTGCCTTGTTTTCCACGTATCACCCTTAAGAATTCTGTCTTAGCTCCTCTGGCTTTAATAAGACATATCTAAAATATGGAAGAAGGAAGCAAAACAGTGGTACAAACCTGTAAGAATAGCATCAGGAGGGCTAAAGCTCAGAATGAGCTGAGGTGCTAGAAAAATGCTAAGGACGATAAAAACCACTTTCCCCGGAATCATCAGAACAAGAAGAGGAATAAGGAAGGAACAACAGGGACAAAACAGAATTATTCAACTCCTATCTCTTTCCATCTTCTCTATCAAGGAGAATGATCTTCATACTGGAAAGGGTAGAAAAAACAGAGTAAGACGGAAGGGAAGCCCAAGACAAGTGAGGAGATAAGAGACTGTCTAGCTGCATAAAGTGAATTCAGATGAATTCCATTCCAGAGCATTGATTTGATTACTGAACCAGCAGCAGTAATCACTGAAGATTCAAGGAAAGTGCCCAGGCAAATGTCCAATTTTTCAAAATGAAAAGGTAGATTTTGGGAAATGTAAAATAGTGAGCTTGACAGATGCTCAGCTCCAGGAAAAATCTAGAATACATTTTTAAATGGATGGCTTGTGGGCACTTAGAAATAGAAGAAATGATCACTAAGAGTTGGAATTTCTCCATTAAGACCAAGTTATGCCAGACTAACCTCATTTCCTTACTAGGGAAATGGTATAGACATAATTAATATGAATTTCCACAAGGAATTTGACAGTCTTTTAAGATAGTTTCAAAGACAAAATGGGGAATGTAAGTGGGATGAAAGTGCAATTGGGTGATTTTTTTTCTTGTTGGAAGACTGTAACTAAAAAGGCCAGACTAATGTATCTGCAAGGCCAGATAATGTATTTGAAATATATATCAGATAATAATCTGATATCACCCTGAAAGATGGTGTCCAGATGAAGTCGTTACTCATGTCGAATTTTATCAGTGTTTCAGATGAAGATATTGAAAGCATGCTTGTTAAATTTGCAGATGACACAAAGCAGGGAAGGTTTGCTAATAAACTGGATGACAGAATTAAAATCCAGAGAGCTTTTAGCAGTTTGGAGCAGGGGACTGAATCCAACAAGATGTGATCTGACATGGCTAAATTTAAAGTCTCATAATTAGCTTGAAAAAAAATTCAGCTGTACAAGTAAAGGGTTTGGGACTCAATCTGTAATTTCTCTGGTACAGGAAACTCTCTGATAAGGAAACTGTTGCTATCAGTGCAGCTAGGAAATTTCTATAAACTTATAGGCTTAGAAAATTGCCTAGAGCACCATGTTAAGTGACTTGCCCACAGTCACCTAACCAGCGTGGATCAGAGGGGATACTTAGCTCCATCCTATCTGCCACAATGCTTCTCCAGGCTGAATTAGTTAAGTGTCCACTCACATGAGTCACCAGTAAGACCTGGCTGCCAAAAAGCTTATATAACCTTGGGCTACATTAACAGATGTTTTGTTTCCAGGCAGGGGGAGTAACAGCCCCTTCCTGACATGTTGGTCAGGTCACATCAGTAGTGTTTTGAACATTGCTGGCTGTCACACTTTAATAGGGACACTGATGAACTGGATCTAGTCCAAAGGGAATTGTCAAGATGCTGAGGGCAATCAAAACCATGCCAGAAGAGGACCGGTTGAAAGAAAAAGGGATATTTAATCTGGAGAAGAAAGTGCTAAGGGTCATCCTAATAGTTCTCAAGCATCAAAAGGGCTAGCATCTGGAAGAGGAATTAGATTTATTCTTCACAGGAAGAACTAGGATAGAAGCTATGTGGAGATAGAGCTTACCTCAAAGTAAGGAAGAACTTTCTAGCAATAGTGGCTGCTCAAAAATCCAATGGTTTGACATTTGAGAGAGTGGGTTTACAGGCAGTGTTCAGGCAGGGGACAGACAACTTCACATCATGTTGGATCCCCATCCAGTATCAGGCTTTAATATATCCTAGACTCATAGCTTTAGAGTTGGAAGGGACTGTTTCAGGTCCTTTTATAAACGAGGATACTGACTAAGAGATCTTAAGTGACTTGACTGAGGTCACCCTGAGCCCAGGCCTTCTCATCTCAGAACCGGCTCTCTTTCCACTGAACCACCATTGCCTCTAAGAGTCACTTCCAGTTCTTAGATTCTATGATTATATTAGATCATCTTAGAAAGTGAGACTTCACTATAATACATAACATATAAGTATATACCCAGTGTGTCATAGGAGATAGAGAGCTAGCCTTGAAGCCAAGGGCACCTGAGTTAAAATTCTATCTCTGACATATACAGGCTGTGTGACCTTGGGCAAGTCATCTGTCTTCTTGCTAAGAAAGGAGCTCTTGACCTGAGGTCCACAGACCTCTTGGATTTCAGGGGGTCAACTTGGATGGGAAAAAAAAATTATTTTTACTAACTTCTGATTTCCTTCATAATCTTGTGTGTTTTATTTTATGTGTTTTAAAACATTATCTGAGAAGGGGTCTGTCTGCCAAAGATTGCTAAAGAGATCCATGACATGGCAAAGGTTAAAAAACCATCTTCTAAGACTATAAGAGGTGCCAATCAGGAGTGGTAGAGGGGTTCCCTCACTGGGGAGTTCCTATACCAGTGAAATCACAAGTCTAATGCCTTTAACTAGACATATGATTTCTTCTGCACCACCATCTGTAATTCCATGCTAAGGAGTAATGGATGGGAAGCCTGGGAACCGAAGCTGAATGAGAACCTGCGAAAGATAGCATCAAGTCCCTTACAGCTGAGTCATCTGGTGCCATCATTGTAAAAGCTTGGGGAGGGCGCATGGTGGAGAATCGAAGGAAGAAGTGTCGATTTACCCATGATGAGGGGCCACTATCATGTAGCCCTGTTGCTTTGGGTTCAGCCTTTGGACGGTTCAGAATCGAGTGAATTTACGGGGTCCAGCAAGGGTGTGGGAGGGACCTGGCTCACATGAGTTTATTATTTATTACAATATGTTTTTTTGCCCCAAAGTATTTAGATAAAAATAATGGAGATACACCAAGGATTCTGAGTAGATGAGAGAAGAGAGTGCATTCCAAGCATAAAAGACAACTTATGTAAAATGCATGGAGAAGGAAATGGAATCTCATGAGCGTGGGAATAATAAGTAGGATGGTTTGGCTCTTACAGGTCCAAGGGAGACTTCTCCGATGGGTACCTTATACTGTGCGCTACTTCAGGACATTGGCCCAGGCTAACAGTGGGTCTGTGTTGTCTCTTTTTTCCCTCCCTTCCACACTCACTGTCTAGTAAGTGCTGGCTAGATTTGATAATTCCCAGTTGGCTTGGGGTAGGCCTCTCTAGTCTGAGGCAAATGTGTGAAGACAAAGATCTTCCTGGGAGTTTATGACTGTTTCTCTGGTACAATACCTGGCTCAGACTTGCCGGTCCTTTCAGGACTGGTTTTAAAGTAATCCTAATAATCCTGCTGCCTTCCCCAGTAAGAGGGAACAGAATAATGGGGTGGGAAGTCCAGGTGGCAAAGTCATACCAATTCACAAAAGGAAAGTTTCTTTGGTACTTAAGAGGGGATATGACCCTATGTCAGATCCCAGCAGACCTTTAAATAGCACATTTTTAGTAAATTTCTAACACAAGATTCTGAAATATTTCCATTGCTCATTGACATTATGAACACGGCTGAATTACAAGGTATTCAAGCCTTATTTTATCTTTAGCTAAATTGACTGGTTTCAGAAACAGAGTATATGGGTTTGAGTCCTCAGTCTACAACATACAACCCTTTTTGTCTCTGGTGAAATAAATTGGCCTCTCTGGATTTCAGTTTCTTCTCCTGTCAAGTGAGTGGGTTGGGTCAGAAGCTCTACAAGGTCCTTTCCATTTTCTAGACCCTAGGATCCTATGAAAGTCAATGAACAACAGAGGAAAATATGGATGTGTACTAAAGAGAAAACGATGTTTCAAAGTCTCTTAATGTCTTTCCTCCATAAGTACTCTGACTAATGCTACTCTAATCTAGCAAGGCTATTTTGACCCCTACTAGGAATTCTACAACCCCAGATACATGGAAAATCCATTCAAATTTCATAGCAGACAAATTTTCCACCTTACCTATTCTTTACATGAAGCCATTCACAGAGATTGTAGGTCACGGAGATGGTGATTCCCCAAAGCTAGAGACAAAACCCTATAACCAAATCTTTCTCAGCCATTAGAAAACAACCACATTAGCTACACATATAAGACCTTAATCTTTTCCTTTCTCCTTCCCCACACCCCTTTCTCTTGTCCTCTTCTCCTTTGCATGTTCTGTTTTCTCTGTGGTTCCTATAGTTCTCTGCTCTTAGTTACTCTTTGAGATTTTATTTGTTTGATGTGTTCAACTCCTGAAAATAAATACTAGGGGCTCTTTCCTCCTGCAAGTGGCTGCTAATCCACTTAAGTGTAGTAAACCACTTATAACACATGCCTAGATCAATGAACATGAAATGAAATGTCATCTCACCTTGCCTTGCAGCCTTGATGTTCACAGGCTGAAATCCCCCGTTGAGGGCTGAGGAATCAATGATATCAGACTCAAAGTCCCTATGGTTCTTCCGATATACAAATAGAGCCACGGTCACAGAAATGGCCAAGCACACAATCACTGCTATAACCACACCAACGTAGAGGGCCACATCATCTGAGTCAGGAGCCGCTGGAGGGGAAGAATTGGTTATAGGAATTTCCAATAGCACACAACTGTATTGCTGTCCTTCCTTTCGACATTTATTATCTTTTTTTATTGGTTAATTTCAAATCTATTGCAAAAGGTATATACTTTGAGTATACCCTTTCAATGGGAAATAATCATAGTTTTCTTTCTTTCTTATTCTCTATCTATCTCTGACCTATTTTGGGAAATATAACAGACCATTTATTGCTAGGGTTGTGAAGAAATTTTGGCTAAAATTCTACCAACTCATAAGAAAATGTTCAGTGCTATTGTTGTGTGTGTGTGTGTGTGTGTGTGTGTGTGTGTGTGTGTGTGTAATAGGATAACAGGTTTTTAATTTCACAGATGCTCCATTTGAAAAACATAAACATTCCCTTAGAAATGTCTGGCACATTTTGATTCTGTGTATTTATTGAATTAGAGTATTTTCCTAAGTAACTTTCCAAGTCATAAAGTTACTTCTCCAGGGTTCTTCTTTCCTTTCACCTAAATTCAGTAGGGGGGAGGGGAGGGCTAAACACATGTAGTATGACTAATCTGAGCAATTTGGGAACACAAAGATAGAGCTGAATGGTGTGCTTTCTGGAAAAAGAAAAAAAATACTGAAAAATAACACTCTGTTCCTCTTCTCTGGCTCACCTGGAATAAGTGCCAGGTCTATGGAGAGGGGAAATGGGGGGTACAAGTATGCATTCTGCAGGTGTGCTGCTTTTCCTAAGGAAACAATATGAACAGCAGGAGTTGAATTCTTTTTCATGGATAAGAGGCACCCATTTGCTTTAGGTATTGTTGAAGACAAATGTAGCCCCGTACCATAAGGGTGTCCTGCAAAGGGTGTCCTGAGCCAATCAGGCACAGTATCAGACTAATCCTAGAAGCTGAGCAATCGTGTCCCCATGAAGGAACTTTTTATATTTTTAGAAGGTGGGGACAGAGCCTTGGTCATTTTTCCCACTGGCCTGACATCGTTTGAGTTGGCCTAGCTCAATATTGAAGGCAGTGTGATATAATAGATAGAGAGCTGGCCTTTTGGGCCATCTCTGGCACACTAGGCTGTGTTACCCTGGACAAGTCACTTAACTCCTCAGTGCTCTAGGCTCAGTGCTCTAAAACTCTATGTGGCTGAAAAGGTTCCAACCTGCATTGATAAAGGAAATTCCTTCCTGGGAGCTCTCTACGCTGATGAACTCACAGGTCTAGTGTCTAGCCTTCCAATCTTGGTGAGCAGAAATCTTATTGAACTCCATAACATAATTTGTGTCTATGTGTATCGATAGCCCACAAAAACTACTTGGGAGGATGTCACTGAAGATAGTCTATTTCCTCTAGATGGCTAGTAATAGTAATGATGCGAATTGCATCGACTACTAAAGTAACCCAAGGCAACTTGGAGTGACTAGTTCTGTTGCTGTGCATATTTTGGCCTATGTTTTGGAATGTTTCCACCGACAAAAATGAGCATCTTTTTTCCCATGTTTTATTTCTTTAAATTTACTATACAAGAAAGAAATTTTACTATCTGCTTTCCTAAGGTACAAAAGCATCTGATTTCTTGCTGTTTAGGTGAAAACTGACAGATGTTTAAAGGAAGCCAATGACATCCCAAATGCTTTTGACTGTAGGAGCTCCTTTTTGCCACTGGGTTTCTGATGAGGCACCTAAGTGGAACTCTGAGCCCCGGGCAAAGCGTACTGCCTTAATTCTGTTTGGTTTCCTCTTACTAACGACTATTTCCCAGGCCTGTAAGACTTCCTAGGTCATGATTACTTTTTCAGTAGTCATAGTTTCTTATCCGATAGATGTGAATTTATATTTTCAGCCTTTGAAGTCTCTTTTTCTTGAACCTGCATATTCATGATTTTTTGTTGTCTCTTTCAAGTTAAATTTCACTTGATTCTTCTTCCTCTGATTCAGCGAGGGGCACTAACTTATTTTCTGTGTTGGAAAGTATTAGGTGCCTACCTCCAGTGCACATAAATGATATAGGAAAGGTAAAGTCAGACTGATGAATGACAATGAATGATTAAACCAGCAACATAAAAACAAAACATGACACTTACAAGAAAATCCATATTCATTCTGGGTTCTCTGTTCAGTTGAAATAGGATAAATGAAACCTTGAAAAGAAAAAGAGTTGTACAAAAATGGGAACAAAATCAAATTAATGAGGGGAACAAAATGGGAAGCATGAAAAATGGTTTAATTAAAAGAAGAGGAAAAGAAACTCATAGTACTTTCAAGTTCTGATTCAGCACAGAATTATGATTTTGCATCTCCGCTCTGCTCCAGAGCCTCACTAAGAATTAATAAGTAGGCAGATTGAATTTCAGAGGCAAAACTGGTCTCGAGTCACTAACTTTGGAGTGCTTAAAGTCTTCCTTTTATTGAGCATAAACTCTAATGGATTTAATTTATTTCAGACATCAAGGGTCATTAGCATATGGAAAATCTTTTTTCCCTATCCCTGCCATATGCTTTAATTCCCAAGATATATTCAGGAAAGCTCTAAACAGTTTTTTTATTTAATTATAGCAGCTTGCTGTTGGTCTAATAGAGCCAAAGAAGACCCTGTCGTCATTGGTCAAAGGTTAAAGACCCATTTGCTGTATTGAGCCTAAGGAAAAGAAATTCACTTTTTGGATTTCCTTCTTGCTTATCCCCCACTTCATGTAATAGGAATCCAATAGGTATTGCCCAGGGAATGAGCAGTTTGTCAATGAAATGGAAACTGGATGCCTTTTATTTTAAATCGTTAGAAAATCAATAGGGGCCTAGAGGGTGTAAGATTATTTATCTTAAACATAGTGTGATCTGAATGGAATTATAGCCCAGTTTAATTTTTCAAATAAATAATTAACCTTAATGCTTTTCTTTTGAGACACTCTAAAGCCAACTAGTTTTTTTTTTTTTTTCGAAAGCCAAGGGAAGAAAATACATTTTTCCAATTTGGAACCCAGAATTCTGAAAGTTAAAGCTTGTTTTTTTGTTCTACTTATAAGCAACAGACTGTGACTTCCAAAGAAAGATGATTTTAGATATCAAGCATCTCCTCTAATGCAACATTTGAATGTCAAGTCAAAATGAATCAGAAACACATGGCTTCAGGCTCCCTTGCTATATACAGGATTACAAGTAAAGGGAAAACTGTGAGAATCAAAATTAATTGGCTTAAAATGAAAGCACCGTAAAGCATGGGTACTAAAGCAGACTCTAGGATGTGACAAAGGTATCTCAACCAGAGTTTGAGGAACACTCAACCCTTACAAGAAATTTACCAGTTTGGGAAGTGAATGTTGGAGAAACATGTGGTTCTTACTTAATGAACAAAAGATTTGCTATGTCACAGGCAAGTTTTTACTCGAATGAACTTTTAATGCTTTATTTTAGAGAATGATTGCAGCCTCATACTCATTTTTATAAATATCATATTCCTTATTTCACTTGCATGACTCCATGTATTAGGACTGTTGTGCATTTTTAAACAACCTGTGTCTAGTAATAACCTTTTTCTATTTGTATTCTGTGAATTCAATAAAAGAAAAGCAAGGACACAGACATCAGGAAGAAATAATTGATTGCTAAGATCTGAAGTCAAAACAAGTTATTCATTTAGACACAGTATGACTTAATAGGTAGCAATGCTTTACTCAAGATCAGATCTAGGGAGAGGGATTTCAAAGGATCTGCTTTTAGTAACTGGGGTTAGCAAGTGGGGAAATCATAATAATCTCCAATGACATGGATTGAGAACCAGTGTGGCCTCACAGAGAGAGATGTCCTTGCACTTAGGAAGTTCAAGACTTACATTTTGGTTCAAATCTTGTCTCTCACATTTACTGGCTATGTTATTCTGAGCAAGTGACTCTTTGTGCCGAAGACAACTCTCCAAAACTGGAATTTGTAAGAGCAGATACCAATCTATACTGGGAGAAGAAGTTTTTGTAGCAGAAATTCCCTACACTGATGAAATCACCAAATGGAAGCCCTTTTCAGCCCCCTCAAGGAGAGAAGGAATTAAGGAAACTTATTTTTCTCTCTGAAAGTCTTAGTATGTGTTTGCAGCAGAGAAGGTGACTGTGTGTTATATAACATTACAAAAAGAAGCCAAAGGAAAATTAACATTGAGGAGAAGCATGGAATAGTTGAATGAACACTGGATTTCAGGGTCAGAATGACTTCGTTTCAAATCTTGGCTCTAACACTTACTGGTTGTATGACCTTGGTCAAGTCATTGAACTCCTCATCTGTAAAATGGGAATAATAATTTTACAGGAAGCATGTAAGGCAAGTGATTTGCAAATGCTGAAGAGTTGTAGGAGTTGTGATTATGAGGAGAAACATCCCAGATTTTTGTTACCAACAGAATTCCTGTTCTTCACAGGTAAATCAAGGAACAAGAGACATGGAAATTTAGAACTGTGATTTTAATCTCAGGTCTTCCTCTAATTTGTGTTAACCCTAGGGCCCTATGCTGCAGCCAGTATTGAGAAGTGGAAGGAATCCTTGCAGCTTTAAACCTGTTGGCTTGGCTCCGTTTTGTTTTGTTTTTGAGGCTGAGTCTTGCCATTTTGCCCAGGCTACAAGTATAACACCCACTCAAGCTGATACCATTCAGATTGGCAGAGGAGCTTTGACCCACTCCATCTCCACTTGGGCCAGTTTGCTTCTCCGTAAGCAGTCTAACACTCTACCCCCACTGGCCCCAATATGGGGCTTACCATATTGGTGCTGGACCTTAGAGGAAACATTCGTAAGATGAGCCTGCTTCTCATCAGATGAGGCTGTTGCAATTCATAACTCCTGAGCTGAAGAGATCCCTCAGCCACAGCCTAGGCCCTGGGAGCAGGGATTATAGGTGTGCACCATGACACCTGGTTGCCCCTAACTGCTGTGGCCTTGGTATCTGAACTCTAAGTACACAGTGAAAGTGAAAAGTACGGGAGGTTGTACTATACCTGCTCCTGGCCAAAACTAATGTTTTCCAGAAATAACCCGAATGTCAGGATAATTTTAAATGAACTCAATAGCGGTACAACGCTCCCTTTTACTCTTGCTGTGGAAACAATAATCAACCATTTTCAATGGAAACTTCTTCAATACGTTCATTCACCTTCAAAATTGGAAAACACTTTCAATTACAGTATCAAAGCATCAATTAAAAGGCAAAAGATTTGAGGAAAGGATTATTTTTCCATTTCTAAAATGATGGGACAGATAGGATCACATTTTAGAGTTTGTTTTTATGTGTCTCCATCTGATACAGCTTTTATCCAGCAAGAAAGAACATTTTCTTCAACTAATGAGGTGAACCTGCTGAGATTAGTGCCAGAAATAATGTAAAATAACATCTCTGGTAGAATCAAAAGGAATATGATGCAAAATAATTATTTTTGTGACCCCATTAATAACTCTGGCAATAGGGATTTTGACCAATCCGTTATTTGAAAATAGTGCCTAATAAATGGGACGATATCATTAAGTAATCTAGAGCTAAAGCCAGAAGTTGTGAGTGTGCTTTTCTCAATGCTAAAAATGGCTATTTTATTTATTTATTCATTTTTATTAAATCCATTTACTGGATTTGAAATCAGAAGGGCAAAAACTTTAGAGTCCAGAAGATGGGTTCAAATCCCATTGTAGATCTTGGAAAAGTAACTTAAACTCTTTGAGTTTCAATTTTCTCATCAGTAAAATAGAGTTAGAAGCAGAGAATCCCTCGGGTTCATTTCAGCTTCATAGGGTATGATGCACTTTCATTCTCACTTTAAAATGTTGGATTTTATGAAGCCAGCTCTACTGGATTAAAAAAAAATAATTTGGAACTTTTGGGATGTCTTAGCCTTGTTAAAAAGCTAACTCTTGTTCCTATTAGCTCTTAGAATCCAAGAATTCAAGGGCTGGAAGAGACCTTAGAAATAATTTAGTCACACCTCCTAAATCTTTTAGTTGAAGAAAATGGGACACTAGGAGGTCACCAAACTACTTTGTGGTAGGACTAGAATCCAGATCTCTGACTATTGAACCAATGTTCTTTCTTTTCCACCATGCTACCCACCAAAAAGAAATGGTTGTTAAAAGTGAAAAAAGACAGGCAGAAAATCAGAAGAGTAGCTCTAGTCCAGGGGTGGGGAACCTGAGGCTTTGAGGCCACATGTGGTCCTCTAGGTCCTCAAGTGTGGCCTTTTGACTGAATCCCAACTTCACCAAAAAAATCCCCTTAATAGAAGGTTTTGTTCCGTAAAACTTGGATTCAGTCAAAATGGCACACCCAAGGACCTAGAAGGACACATGTGGCCTCTAAGCTGCAGGTTTCCCACCCCTGCTCTATTATCTCATAATTTTAAATTTTCATTCAATTGTTATATGAACAAAAGTAAATTATTTACTTTTTCCACTTGTACCCTTGTCACTAACTTTCGTGACCTAAGTAAGCGGCACTCTAAGCTTAAAGGAAAAGACTTTATAAAAAGACATTTAGATATTGTCTGTTTTCCTTCAAAAGGGAGAAAAAGCAAAGGACAAATTCGAACTGAGTTGTATTTCTATCATAAATTATCCGGAAAGCCTGTGGCCAGCATCATGGAGTCCTTAATTTGCGGCAATGACATTGTGTTTGGCATAAAATGACATGACTCATAAATACTTGAAGAAATAATACTGCTCACCTCTGAACTGGTTCCCACCAAGGAAGAGGGGAATTTATGATAGCAATTAAAACGAATCTTTATATCTGAAGAGAAGCAAATGCTCCTCTGATAAAAGTGTGTAAGCACACCATTCCTGTGCTTTCAAGTAAATAGGAAGGGACGGAGGTTCATTTGCTTAGACTCATCTCCTCCATCTCCTATAGCAGTAGATGGTAACAAGCTACCTTATGGGTAAGGATACTTCTAAAGTTGAACAAAGCCTTCCATTCAGCCACCATCTTGGCTTGATTCCTACTTGCTCACATTTGGAAGCACCACTTTGCACACATTAAGGGAAACAGTGAAGTATTCACTTGAATTCTATAAACCCTTGAAAAAACCCTATCAGAATGGCATTGTTGCAGGTGACACCCCTAAGGTTCTAAGGCTTAGTTTCAATATGCATTCCTGCTAGGTTGATGCAAGATTTA